GCACGCCATGCACCAAAAAGTTTTAGTGGTGCACCAGTGGCACGCCATTAGATTATAACTGCACCAGCAACCCTAGCTGCGCCATATATTATTAATTAGTTTTTAGTTAATAACTCAGCCAAATAATTAATAATTAGTATTAACTATCAATAATTTTAAAAGACCCATCACTAGCTATAGCTTTACAGGCATCTTCAACTCTATGCATCCTACTTATCCCCAAAATAAATTTAATCACAGCGAACAACTTTTTTCATCTGCTTTCTCGTTCTTGCCAGATTATTTGAATTTTTCTAAGTGTTCACTATTATTGAAGTTCATATAAAAGAAAAAATTGCGAATATTACGAGATTCATAATTCCAGAGTCTCTAGAGACTAAAATAAAAATACATTAAATAGTGATAAAACTCTTATTTAAATATTAATAAAATTTTTATTTAATTTTTATTAATTTTTATAAACAATTTTAAAGAAACTTATGTTTTATATGTTTTGAGTAATCAGAATTTGGAGATGTTATGTGGTCAAATGCCGTGTCACATAGCAATATCACGTACTGTAGGTAAGTATAAATAAGTCTACATCGTACATTCGTGTGTGCTGTACATTTTTTTCCGATTTACAAAAATCATGGAAAAGAAAACACCGAAAGAATGGCTTGAAAAAGCAATTTCCGAAGGATATATTAATAATCTTGAGTTTAATAAATTTACATATTCTACAATTATTGGCAGCGGTGGTTATGGAAATGTTTTGAAATACGAATGGAAAGATTGTTATTTAACGGTTGCCCTGAAATGTCTTAAAATCGACACCAATATAAATGTAGAAATTATTAAAGATTTTATTAAAGAAGTATTTGTTACATTACTACTTTGTATTACTACTTTGCATTATTTCCTGGCGTTATACTAAATTTCTACATTTCTACAACTATGATATAAAAGCTTAAACTATTACGAAAAGTTGATTACCACCCAAATATTATTAAATTCTACGGAGTTACAAAAGGTATATATGAAATTCTAAAGTTCTATTTTTGTGTAAAATAACTATTAAAAATATTTATTATAATTAATTAGACAATAACGGATATTATAATATGGTTTTACAATTTGCCAATGACGGAAATTTGCGAGAATACCTGAAAGCAAATATTGCAAAATTGCAGTGGGCAGATAAGCTACTTATCGCTAAGGAAATAGCATTTGGGCTTTTATTTTTACATAATAATGATATTATTCATAGAGATCTTGTAAGGATATTATTTTTATATGTTTTCAAGTTTTGACTATAGTAATTAATGTTTTGATATATTTTATAGCATTCGAAGAATATTTTAATCCATCAAAAACAACCAAAAATCGCGGATTTTGGTCTATCAAAACAGATAAACGGGACGTCTATGACTTCAAACTCGATAGTTCACGGAATGTCAGCATATATAGAACCTAATTGTCTTATCAATCATAGATACAAACGTAATAAGAAATCCGACGTCTATAGCTTTGGTGTAATCCTTTGGGAAATTTCAAGCAGAAGGCCACCATACCAAACCTTTGAATCAGAATATTCGCTTATTTTCCACATAGCACAAGGAAATAGAGAAAAACCGATAAAAGACACACCACCTCAATATATTGAACTTTACAATCGATGTTGGGATAGCGATCCTGCTAATCGTCCAGAAACAAAGGATGTTTTCGATACTTTAAAACAATTCGTTGATAATGATTTAAAGCAACAGGTGACTAATGAACAATCAATTAAAAATAATGAACCAACTAATAGTTCAAACGAATCTCTAAAATAATTTAATCCTGTTAATTTTTTAAATCAAATTATTTCCAAGGAAACTTTCGATAATCCTATTCCTAATGAACCATCAAATAAAAATAATGAAACCTTTTCTTTAAATCAAGATATAAACCCACTTCAAATCACAACATCAGCCCCACTTTATTTACTTGATTCATCTTTGTCTGATACAGCAAGCTCAAGCCTTTCACCTTCGTCTAATGCAAATACTTCAACGCAAGATTGTGATATTGAGGATATGAGAAAAGAAGCACGTGAATCTTTTAACCAAGGCAAATTTCTCAAAGCATTAGAACTTTATGAA